CTTTATTAAGTTCATTAGGACCGTTCTCTTTTGTAGACAACTTTATACTTTCAGTATTAAGACACGTAAAAGTTGAACGGAATGGTTCAAAAACACTGTTCATTTCATTCTTATAATATTATTCATCAAGTTCAAGATATCAGGTTAGATACATCATATTACGAGTAAAACATAATTAACAATAGTAATTTCACCTTCAACTCCTCAAGGATTTTTTTTTCATTATGAATAAAAATAGTCCTTTTGTCAGGAGTGACATTAACATCGTAATAGCCTAAATTACCAAGTATACATTAAAATGGGATATCAGTGTCTCAAACCAAATAGTAATGACGTTCGTACATTTTTCAAGCCGAAAATTGACAACGCAAAATGGATATTGATTCGTGTTAAAACTTTTATATAGTTCGTTAATAGTTTTAGCAACCTATTTTTAGATATTAAAGAAAAATATAAAAATAATTATATTAAATAAGTTAACTAGTATTGGGGCTCATATATATGTATATATGTATAAAGAGATAAACCTTTGGTAAAGTGCAAGGTCGGCTATTAATGAAATAAAACTGTCTATCAGAATTTCCTCGGCCACAACCCTTCATTGGCTTTGATATGTATCCAACAATATGTATAGAATATATATCACTATATTTAAATTAGAAAATTAGAACATGAGTTTTATTCGCTTTATCCAAACTTAAATTGAAAAAAGTCTAATTACCTCTCTGGCTGATTTTCAGAGTCTATTAACATTTTTTGTTTTTCCGGTGTCACTTGGATGTTAAAATCAAATGGCACAATTTGTGTTAATGTTTTAGCACCAAATAAATTAGCAATATTATCTCGAATGTTACTATTCCCGCTAGTACTGAGGACTACAGTTCTTGCGCTAGAATAAATACAAATAAGTCGCTTTGATGCTTTAAATAGAAGAAAATGAAAATAACAGTATTTCATATACCTCCTATTAAGTTGATTTGAACAAGTGATTTTCAAATTTTTGCAAATTATGGCATAGGCTTGTAATAATGTCAAGGTTTTACCAAATTCCCGCTTTATGTTCTTTTTGAATTCTTGATGCCGAACAGGAATTGGTTCAAACAAATCTTGCAAGATCACAGTTGTGCCTCGCTTTATCACAAATATTTACATATATTTTAACCCAAAATATTGCAGCATGTTGTAAAGAAGTCTCAGATATATCAAAATGACAATGTGCACCTCACGAGCTATAGGTGTCTTTTTAATAAGTTTTCCGAGAGAATCAAATTCCAATTTAAATCCAGCGGGGGCTTCCTCCTGTGTACAAGTTAAAATCATAACCTTTGATAGAGCACAGAGAGAACTTAAAGCCTCTCCTCTGAAACCAAAAGAATCGAGTTTAATCAGGTCTTCAAAGCTTGAAAGCTTAGAAGTACTATGTTTAAGGGCTAAAAACGTTGATAACCATAAAAATTAACAAACAACCTATTAACAAACAATTTAGTGCTACTAAAAGACCCACCGAGTTGTTCAAAACAATTTTGATTTATTCCCGTGCCATCATCAATCACCTCTATCGATTGTATACCATACTCTTTAAACCTAATCTCTATTTGACAAAAAAAAACGCGAAATATATTCACTTCTAAGGCTTGCAATAGAACGCGTTTGTTAGCTATTAATAATATGTTTTCACCTATTACTTTGGCCTGGGCATCAAGACCATTTTCTACAAGCTCTTTCACGGCTGTAGCTAAATCTAAAATAACTTGACCTGAGCAAATTCTGTGTATCGAAGTTGTGTTAATGGGTTTTACTGTCGCCATTACGAAAACAACCAACTGATTATCTAATTGCTCACATGAATGATGAAAATTATCCCTTGTGAAAAATCAACCCCAGCAGTTTAAAAAAAAAAAATTACGTGCGCACGTACAATTAATTCTCCAGAACCCGTATAAATATATTTAATAATCACTGTCTAGACCGAACATTCGAATATTTAAACGTTATGAAACTAACTCTCAGACCCGGGCGATGCTCTGGAACACAGGTTTAAATTTATTTAGTTTTAAGTTTTTTTTTAAAATTTTGGTTTTTTAGCAGGTGACGCTCTGGGGGTGCAGTTTTAAATTTATTTGGTTTTTTTTTTTAGTTTTTTAGTTTTTTAGCTCTTAGATTCGGGCTTGGATTTAAATAAACCTGATATAGGTTCACATGAACCTGGCTTGGGTTCAAATAAACCCGATATTGTTTACTTGAACCTGGCTTGGGCTCAAATAAACCCAATATAGGTTTACTTGAACCTGGCTTTAAATAAATCTAATTCGGGATCACCATCAGGAAATTTTTAAGCTGATAGGTTGTGATTACTAACAATTAATCGATTATTATCAATTAAATTTAATTGATAAGAACTGATAGTGGTGATTGTAATCGTCAAATATTCTTATTGATTTTAATCAATAATGTTATTAATCATTAATATACTATAAACAATTATTATTGATTAATTCTTTATCAATAATTATCAATAAAAATTAATTGATAATAATCATTTATAATAAATGTGTGTATAATTGTGAAATTGGCTGAAGCTAAAAATTTGTAATCTAATTAAAATCCATAAAACCTACTAAAACCCACTTATATATGTTATTATAAATTCTACCTATAAAGCTGACCCCTAACCCTAAAAAAAGTCAAAAAAAGTACTCCAAAAATTTTTAAATTTTTATAATAAAATAGGTCAAATTTTCAGCTTCAGCCAATTTCTGCTTCAGTCACCACAATAAATTAATGATTAGTAACATTATTAATTAAAATTGATAAGAATATCTAATGATTACAATCACTACCATCAGTTCTTATTGATTTAATTAATAATAATCAATTAATTGTTAGTAATTATAACCTATCAGCTTAAAAAATTTTTTGATAATGATAGCTATCGATTTTTATCTAAATTGATTCTTATTATGAATAATAATTATTAATTTTTATCTGATTGATTTTTATTATAAATGATAACTATTGATTTTTATCTAT